CTTACTGGGCTTTCCTATGTTGTATCACTTCATGACTGAGTTGTAATCGGTGTTGTCCGGCACGAACAACAGGCTAAATCTGAAAGACCAACTTTATCAAATCAAAGTAAGAATTAGGAAAATCTATATTCGAGTAATTCTCCCGTCATGAATAGACTCTAGCTATGTTATCAATAACTTTTAGCAATATCTGACGCATGAAACTGTGAAACGTTTGGTTTTATTTGGCACAGACCATGTATTACCGATAGAGCAAAGCTATTCAAACGGTGAAGTTTTCAGGAATGCCCTTCCGTTCTGTGTTTAGGTTTTTAACGCATTATTTTAGGTGAATTTTTATAAAATATCGTATCAATATTTTTACATGACACTGATTCGACATTTTCTAAAGAAAATGTCCATTTCTTCGCTAGATTGTAGACTATCCAGCAAAGCGGCCATTCTTATGCTCTTCTCAAAATGAACTACTCATTCTGGGTCAAGTTGAGGAAGTAAATTTGCACCGCATATTGAGTTAGAGGCCACACGCATGGTTTCGTGAAGACCTGCAGAACCCTTGACGGTGTCTGAATTTGTTTCCACCGCCTGCAGAACGATGCGTTATTACGTACTTTCTGAGCTAACTTTCAACGTGGATTTTCCCACTGCATTCTGTCGCCAAAAATAAATCCTAGATTTGTCTAACCTTCTGGTTTCCTGAAAACACTTCACCACTCACGACAATTGGATATTTACCTAAGTTTAAAATGCCTTCAGACTGATTTTGCAAGAAAACACTGTTTATGCGATGAAGATGCTAAATTCAAGACAACTCGTTTCTTGTTGTCAGCCGATCTTAAAATGCACATCATTTTCCCATACGTTAGTAATCTGAGGAGAAAGTTAGAGCCTGTCTGAACATTGTATTCAAATCCGGTACAGCACTTTTCAGTTGCCTCAGCCACCGGGAAGTAAAATGCTTTGGAATTCATTCCTGACAACAGCCAATGACTCCGTTCGAAACCACTAACTACTAATCATGGACATTTAGCATCATTGATCAGGTTCATTAGCAAAGTTTGCATATGCAGTTACCTCGCTTTACCGGTTAATGAACACGTTGCAGTTCTTGTAGCCTATCATCATTAAGATGACACCTTTTACACGTCGTTAAGTAAAGTTCCTGTTTAGCTTTCGGACAGTGACATAATGAACGTCGATGATTGAAAAGAATAAATTTCATAATTCATTTTTTAGCGAAAATGATCGAAACGTGAGAAAAAGTTTTTCATTGGCTGCTGACTCGAGTTGCACCCAGTTATCATCGTGCTTATTATGAATCAGACGTGACGTGACGTGACGTTTCAGCTGTATTGTCAGAAGGAGCAAACGGAAGAGGGAGGAAGTGCGTAGATGGTAAACTCGACTCTCGGCATGAACACTTCTGACAGCTACCTTCCGGTCGAGTTCCGCTGGACAGCGACATTCGCGTATAGCGCAACGACGGTCGTCGGTATCATCGGCAACCTCATGGTGGTGGCCGTCGTGCTTTCTATCAAAGGCATGATGACGGCGACCAACTGTTACCTGGTGTCGTTGGCGGTGGCTGACTCTCTGTGCTTCGTCAGCTCGATCCCCGCCGAACTGTCTTGGATGCACTTGCCTGAGGACGTTTACGTGTTCGGCGATTTCGGCTGTCGTGTGCTGACCTTCCTGTCGTTCCTGGCCATCAACGCCTCGTCGCTGTCCATCGCCGCTTTCACCCTGGAACGCTACATCGGCATCTGCCATCCGATGCAAGCCCGCCTGGTTTGCAGCGTACAACGGTCGCAGGTGATCATCGTCTTCATATGGATCTTTTCCATACTGTACAATTCTTCGTGGATCGTTCTGACCGGCCTGTCCCCGTTGCACTACGTCGACTGGCCTGAGGCGCAGAGGTGTACGTTCAGGATGAAGCGAGACAATTACAAGGCGGTGTTCATCGCCGACATCGTCCTCTTCTATTTCATTCCGTTCATCACATACATCTTTGTCTATAGCCGAATCTTCTACGTGCTCTACAAGGCTGAAAGTGTTTGTGGTGAAAACGAGGTGACCACCCCGCAGGTCAGCCGCTCGTTCAGCGGAAACGCCGCCTCCAGGAGTTCGAGAAAGTCCGTTAAAAGTGTACGAATGAACAGGAGCAGAGTCCAAGTAAGGGAAGTGTGCATCTCGTGACGTTCTTCCCGGAAACGCCATTGAAGTATACTGTATCGCATAGCACAACGTGTCGTACTTGCAACTCTGCACCGTGTTAAGAAAATTTTCTAATTGCTTTTCTTATGGCAGATCGCGAAGATGCTCATCGTGATAGTCACTACTTTTGGCCTGTGTTGGTTGCCTTACCGCGCTCTGGTGGTGTTCAACTCGTTCATTCGAACTCCGTGGATTGATAAATGGTAGGCAGATGAATTTGCAATCACGATCATGGTAATAAAGTCCGATTTGCATAATCTGACGATTTATGAATGAGGTCTCTGCCACCATGCGTTGTAATGGCGCATTTATTTATTTATTTTATCAATTTATGGCTAACCTCTTATGCTGACTTCCTCTGCGAGTTAGAGCACCGCTCTACAGGGCAGACTAGGAATTACAGAACAAAAGGTAGATGTGTCAGAGGTTCGCTCGTTTACGTTCATACGTTGTAAAATTCCCGTTCGGTAGGTACGCTCCTTCCCACTGCATCTGAAGCCTTTCTCTTTTTGGCACCAGTAACCATATGCACTGGCCAAATTCAAGTTTAGCTACAGTATACTTGGCAGAGTAAGAGCATTTCTGAGCGTGCTGTTCACCAGATGCATATTTTCCGGGGCATGCTTGTATCTTCTGTGAAAGCGATCTTTCTTCTCTGCTGCGCGTCTTTATTTTCTGCCTATAGGCCTTCCGGGTGGCAATACATTATGTCCACTAGAAGCGTCGCTTCTCTATAGCATATGATCCATAAATGAGTGACATTGGTCATCTGATGAAGACTGCTGCGATATGCGATCAATACCAGCGGAATACTAACATTTCTCCTCTGCAATTGCCGCCCGTAGCATAGTCAGGAGCGTTCGATTGAACTGTTCCACAAATCCATCCGTCTGTAGATGATAGGGCGTTGTATGTGTTTTCTGCTGATTGGGCTCCTCGCTCAAAATTTACCCACCGCTGCGGATAACAAGAAAACCCTCTGAAACTCTTACAAATCTCCTACCTTGAGGAACGAGCCTAAAACTCAGCACTTATTAATCATTCGATTTACTGTGTTATATATTTTTTTCGTTACCGTACTGTTTCTCAATGAAACTTTCATGGTATTCCTCTTAGAAATATGGGCTTTCAGAGTGTAAAATTAAAAGCTAACAAAATCTTAATCAGATCTTCAGAATGATAAGCTCGAAATGGCGCAGAATTGATACGCATGGCATTCAAACATTCGCACATGGCAAACTCGCTCCTAAAAAGTAATTCAGCACGGAGTTCACGCGAAAAAAACGACCTACTGAGAGGGCTTGGAACCTGAGATGGCTTAAAGGTGATGGGGGGGGGGGTCTCATGCCACTCTAGAATATGTCATTTCTTCTGATCGTCAAAGGTCATTATTTATTATTACGCTCTTATTAAATTGCATGGTCATGTTCATTAAATTAGTAAGATAAGTATAATAATTAACCCACTGGAATCAGAATCCTGTCAGAGCATGCACAGTCAGCCGCGCGATCCATTTCAGAGCGGGCAACGGCCATTTAAAATGTGCAGGTTACATCTGAAGACAGCTTGAACGCTTCAACTTCTAATTTTTTATTCCTTAGAAACAGATTTTTCTCTTTTACAGACATGTAATCCGTCTTGTCTTTCTGCAGAGATTTACTTAGACAAATTTATCAGCTCAATTTTTGCATCACCCCTCTTTAAACTGGCTTCAATTCTCAGCAAGGTCGAAGATTAGGATATTGAAGATTAACGGATGCATCCGGGTTTGCAGTGAACAAAATCTGGCCTTTAAACCATGCAGTGAATGCTTGTGAATGAACAGTTGTGATCTTGTAATAAAGCCAACGCCACTTGCACCACCAAAATTAGCGTAATCCCTTACCTGGATATATGTATTCACTTTTTTGCTTCACTGCATGCAGCTGAATCAGTGAACATTTAAATACATTTAGCCGCAGATTGAGAAATTTGTTAGTGTGTTGGAGTTCACACTCAAGACTGAAAAATGAGTAAATACTGTTTATTTATCAACAAGTAAACAAATAGGTTGGCCATTCAGATGATTGAGCAGTACCGAGGTTTTGATCAAACTTGTCCAATCCGTCAGAGCTGGCATCCTTTGTCTCGGTTGATATTTTCGCAAGACTGGATCATTGAGGCCTCTTTGATTCGTCCGCTCAGCCAGTTTCTTTCATTAACGATGCCAGCG